TATACAGAAAATCCTAAGACTCAACCAAAAACTGTGAAAATAATAAAAGAATCCAGTAAAAGTTGCAGAATACAAAATCAATATACAGAAATATGTTGCATTTCTATACACTAATAATGAACTATGCAGCTAATAATGAAAGAGAAATTAAGAAAGCAATCCAATTTACAGTTGCATCAAAAAGAATAAAATACCTAGGAGTAAATATAAGCAAGGAGGTAAATGATTTGTACACTGAAAACTATAAGACACTAATGAACAATTTAAAATGACACAAATAAATGGAAAGATATTCTGCGCTCATGGATGAGAAGAGTCAATATTGTTAAAAATCTCCATCCTACTTAAAGCAATCTCTATCAAAATTCCAATGGCATTTTTCACAGAAATAAAACAATCCTAAAATTTGTGTGAAACCACAAAAGATAGCCAAATAGCCAAAGCAATCTTGAGAAAGAAAAAAAGTTGGAAGCATCACACTTCCTTATTTCAAACCATACTACAAATTTATAGTAATTAAAATGGCATAATACTGGCTGAAAAATAGACAACAGACCAATGGAATGGAATAGAGAGCTCAGAAATAAACCCCCACATATACAGTTAACTAATATTTGATAAGGGCACTAAGAACATTCAGTGGTGGAGATGATAGTCTTTTCCAGTAGGGTTGGGAAAACTGGATAAACACATACAAAAAAAAAAAAAAGAATTTGGATCTATCATGTATCATTCACAAAAATTAACTTGAAATAAATTAAAGACTTAAACATAGGATCTGACACCTTAAAACTAGAAGAAAATATAGGAAAGAAGCTCCTTGACATTGATCTTGATAATCATTTTCTTGGATATAATACCAAGAGCAAATGCAACAAAAGCAAAAATCAGTAAGTGGGACTAAATCAAAACTAAAAGCTTCTGCATAGCAAAAGAAACTAGTAACAAAATGAAAACAATACATGCAATAAGAGAAAATATTTGCAAACCATATAGCAAATAAGAGGTTAATTATTTCATATATATATGGGACTCATGCAACTCAGTAGCAAAACAACAACAAAACACAATCTGATTTTAAAATGAGCAGAAGAACTAAACAGACACTTTTTCCAAAGACAGCCAAATGACTAATAAGTACATGAAAAGATGCTCAACATCACTAATCATCAGAGAAATGCAAATAAAAACTACAATGGGAAATCACTTCACACCTTATAACAGAATGGCTATCCTCAAGAAGACAAGAAATAACATGTGTTTGTGAGAATGTGGAGAAAAAGAAATCCTTATACAATGTTGGTGGTAATATAAATTAGTTCAGCCAATATGGAAAATGGTATGGAATTTCCTCAAAACAATTAAAAACAGAACTACCATAATCCAGTATACTGGGTATATATCCAAAACAAATGAAAACAAGATATTGAAGAGATATCTGCATTTCCATGTTTATTATAGCATTACTCACAATCCTCAACTTAAGTGTTCATCAGTCGATGAATAAAGAAAGATCTGTTATATATGCAATAGAATATTATTTAGCCATTGGAAAGGAGGAAATATTGTGATTTGTGACAACATGGATGGACCGTGAGGGCATTATGCTAAGCAAGATAAGCCAGACAAAGACAAATACTGTAGGGTATTAATTATATGTAAAATTTTAAAAATTCAAATTCAAAGAACAAAGGCATTACAATTCTTGATTTCAAACTATATTAAAAAGCCACAGTAATCAAAACGGTATGCCACTGGCATAAAAACAGACAAACCAATGGAACAGAGTAAAGAACCCAGAAAAACTCCGTACATTTACCGTTACTGATCTTCCACAGGAATACCAAGAACATATAATGAGTAAAGGCTGGTCACATCAATAAATGATGTTAGGAGAATAAGACGTCTGTCTGTAGAACAATAATCATGGGCTGTTCTCTCACACCATATAGAAAAACCATGTCAAAATGGGTTAAAATCTTAAACATAAGACCTGAAACCATAAAGCTCTTAGAAGAAAACAGAACAGCTTCTTGACATTGCTCTGGGCAATGATTTTTTGGATATGACACCAAAAGCACAGGGAACAAGAGCAAAAATATAAAAGTGAGACTGCATCAAACTAAAAAATTTCTGTAGAGCAGAAGAAGCAATCAACAGAATGAAAGGCAACCTATGGAATAAGAGAAAATATTCACAAACCATATATCTGGATAAGGTTAATATATACCCAAAATGTATAAGAAACACAACTCAATAGGATAAAGAAACACATAACCCAACTAAAAACTGAGAAAAAAACCTAAATATCATCTCTCAAAAGAAGACATATAAATGACCAACAGGTATTTGAAAAAGTGCTCAACATCACTAATCATCAGGAAAATACAACTCAAAACCATAATGAGTTATCACTTCACACCTGTTAAAACGGCTGTCATCAAAGAGACAAAGGCAAGAGTTGGGAAAGATATGGAGGAAATGGGATCTCTGTACACTGTAGAAATGTAAATTAGTACAGCCATTACTGAACACAGTACAGAGTTTCCCCCATAAAGTTAAAAATAGAACTACCATAGTTTCTGTATAGACAGCTAAAGAAATGACACCATCTCAAAGAAATATCTGCATTCCCATTGCAGCATTATTAACAATAGTCAAGGTATGGAAACAATTTAAATGTCTATCCATAGATCAATGGCTAAAGAAAATGTCAACTGCTACAACATGGATGAACCTGAAGGACACTAGGTGAAGTGAAATAAATCAGACATAGAAAAACAAATATTGTATGATCTCACTTATACGTGTAATCTAAAATAGTAAAACTCAGGTGCCTGGGTGGCCCAGTTGGTTAAGCCTCTCACTTCAGCTAAGGTCATGATTTTACTGTTGTTTGAGCCTGCATCAGGTTCTGTGCTGACAGCTCAGAGCCTGGAGCTTGCTTCTGATTCTGTGTCTCCCTCTCTCTCTGCCCCTCTCTGACTTGTGCTTACCCTCTCTCTCTCAAAAATAAATAAACATTAAAAACAGTTTTAAAAAACATAAAACAGTGAAATGCTTAGGAGCAAAGAGTAAAATGTTGGTTATCAGGGGCTGGGGGGTAGAGGAAATGAAGAGATATTGCTCAAAGTCTACAGAGTTTCAGTTATGCAAAATGAGTAAATCTTAGAGATATAATGTATAGCAGGGGACTAACGTTAGCAATATTGTACTGTATTCCTGAAATTTGGTAAGAGGGTAGATATTAGTGCTTTCACCACAAAAATATAACCATGTGAGATGATGAATATGGTAATTAGCTTGATTGTGGTGATAATTTCACCTTATTTACATTTGAGATATATACCTGAAATACATACAATTTTTACTTTTCAATGGCAACTCAACTAAACTAGAGAAAAAAAATACTTCATCACATGCAAAATGACAGATTGGTACTACTTTCACAGACCTAATGCAGAATTCAGAGGTAGTGGTCCCATCACATTCCCATTTAATTCATGAGTTTTGCCCTCACCAAATGAACAAACAAATATGTCCTGGAAGACTAGATTTAACTACTACAAAGTAGATCAAGAAGTAGGTCTAATTATAGCTGCTGCATCAAGAGTGGTATTTTTTTCCGAAAATATAATGAAATGGAATCAGGTACATGGTATGCGGCCACTGAGTGGCATTGTATTTTTTCATTTCTATCATGAAAGATCAGAGGCACCTGGGTGACTTAATCATTTAAGCGTCAACTTCATCTCAGTTCATGATTTCACAGTTCATGGGTTGGAGCCTTGCGTTGGGCTCTGTGCTGGCAGCTCAGAGCCTGGAGCCTGCTTAGAATTCTGTGTCTCCCTCGCTCTCTGCCCCTCTTTGCCCCTCAAAAATAAACATTATTTGAAACCAACTTGACAATAAACTATTTAAGAAAAAGAAAATAAATAAATAAACATTAAAAAAATATCAGAAACATTACCTGTTCATGTGCGATCAACAACCATATACTTTTATATTCTTGTCTCAGTTTTTATCTTCATCTTTCTTTCATAGTTTTATCCATCCTCATTCCTTCTTGAACCTGAGAATGGCCTAGGATTTCCAGACTTCAATCAATAGTGCTAAATAATTTGGTTTTAATTGGTTTAATTTTTTTCCTACGCTGAACATCTTGACTACCCTAAATCTAAAACTGGCTTTTTTAAAGCTACAATTCTAGTCAAATAACATTTAATACCCATGGGGAGTATCCAGAGATCCAATGAATACTGAACTTTAAGTTTCTGAACAGCTGATAGTCTGATAATAAATGTAAGTGAAGGATTTTCTTCAAGTAAGACCTATTAATGGAATCAACACCTTGACCTTAGTACTGCTCTTGATATAATTAGGATAAGCATACATTTTTAACTTGATTAAAAAGACCTTTCATGATCTGTCCTCTGTCTTCCTGTCCTGAAATCACTTGTTCCCTCTCCCTTATCTCAAACTCCCCTTCTTCATCACTCAATGATCCAACCACATTGTCCTTGTCCTTGTTATCGAATATATAATCTCTGTCAGTGGGTGGTATGTTGTTGAAGGCATCCCTCATTAAAATTTCTAAAACAAATTTCAAGTTCAATATTAATAGTATAATTTTCATTTTTAAAAAAATTTTAGATATATATAGAGAAAGCATAAGCGGGGTGGGGAGCGGTGGACAGAGGGAGAGAGAAAATTCCAAGCAGGCTCCATGCTCAGCATGGAGCTGTATGCCAGGCTGGACCCCATGACCCTGGGGCCATGACCTTAGCCAAAACCAAGAATCGGACACTCAACCAACTGAGCCAACCAGGTGCCCCAGTATAATTTCCATTTTTAAAAGATATAAAGTTTTTAAAGATTGTTTATCGTTTAATACTTAAGAACTCACTGAAGATATCTGGATTTATATATCAGTTAGAGATCAAATTTTACAATAATGATACCTTGGTTACTTATGGAAAAAACAAATATTCATTTCTTACCACTGGCTTCAATGAAGGTGGGTGCATCTCAGGAAGTATGTTTTTGAAGTCTTCATTGAAAAAAAATCCTTGGGAACTCTGAGGTATGAAAGAGGATGCTGACTCATTTTCATCAATCAGATCTTTATACACCTTTGTTTGAAGTCGAGCTGAGCCTTTCAGTATTATATAAAATCCATCATTTCCAACCACTGAAACAAAACAAAACCAAAAAAAGATATACTGTTGACTTAATTTCCCAGGCTCTTTGGTATAGACATGACCACAGAACTCATTACATTTGCATTGCTTTTAGCAGATTTCTTCTATTCAATGAGGACTATAACATGGCACTTAGATATGCACAAATAATTTACTCAAATAAGAAAGAATAGCAAAGACATGTCTCCACATTTGAAGAATTCTTTTCTGACAATTACAATAATCAATCCTCTTATGGAACTGATAGATTCTGGAAAAAGAACCTGGGGAACATATTACAGTTAGTGGAATTACGATATTTTGAGAAAAATAGGATCAGAAAACTCCTTGAACTCTTTAAAATGTTGCCTTCCCCTCAAAAATGCCATTTTGCTTATTTTATGTAAGAATATATATTTATTATTAACTTTTATTTGTCTTTTCTTTGGACATGATGATTGCTCATAGCTAGTTTGGAGATAGAGATCATTAATAGAAGAAAGATTTTTCCAGTATTTCTCCTACTCCACATTGTAAGTCACCACAATCGCTCCTCTAATTCAATTTCTAAGTTTAACTATGTTCCTATGTAAGTCTGGTTGGTTTATTCAGTTGTGAGCATTTTGAATCCAACTTAAATCCATTCTAGTTCTTCTAAAGTCTGAACTTTCGAAGAAACAGGACATGGGAACTGGATGATGACATTTTCCATTTGTTTACATTACTTTATAGGATTGGAGCAAATTATTCAAGTGCTGTGAGAAGAGCTTTTTCTTAAATTTTGTTTACTATATCACTACAAATAGAAACTTTACAAATTGATATAGGGACAACTTTTTTTTTTAATGTCTAAGAGATGCCAATTGCTTGCCTTTTATGCTTTTTTCTAAATGAGTGCTTTATTCGTGGGGCTTTCTTGTTTACCATCTGTATACAGTGACTACAGGATAGTGCTTTTCAGTCTTCTTTAAAGCAAGGATTGTTTTGCCTGAATACTTGAGCTTAAAATAGATGTCTTTCTGGATAGCATAATATCACTTCTTACTAAACATCTAATCCATGTGGTGAAAGTATTACAGACACATTGCTTTTAAAAAGCTATCAGGTGAGTTGTATGAGAACTACATTGTAGAAAGTATACTGTAAAGGGAAAGATAATAAAATGTTGTAAGAGTGGTAATGATTTTGACCAATTACATAGGGGGAAAAGGCAGTTGTGTGAAAGCTGTTTTCCAATAAATACATTTGGATTCTGTTCTGGTATAGACTTAATTGGCACTTCTTAGCATAGAATAAAAGTTGTAGAAAGAGGTATATTGTGTGAAATAATTTTCTTCCAAAGGCTGTTAATTGCCTACCCAGTATGAATATGCTCCTTTTTCTTTACCACCAAACCACAATTTTATTGGGTGTTGCATATGCATTTAAAAATTACATTTTGCAGATATTCTTATATGTGTGGCCCTGTGTCATGATTCTAATTAATAAAACACTGGGAGAATTATTGCTTTCCAAATATGCATGCCACTCTTTCTTCCTGGATACCTAGAAAAAGTTATGATGTTGGAGCTGGAGAAGCATTCTATAACTAAAAGGAAAAGGAAAGGATAATCTCAGGAAATTCACCTTTAAATATGTCTTATGACTTCAGATTATGTAACATAAATAAATCCTGAACGTTTTGTAAACTAGTGTCCTTTAGTTCTCTACTACTCACAGCTGAAAACTATTTCCATGAATATTGTAATTTCACTTAATTCTAACCATAAAATATGTTCACGTTACTGATGAATATAACTCTTCTGTTTCTCTGATTTAAACCTTCCTTTTCCTTAAGACTTTGGCCCAGTGGCAGTGAATTTGACCCATTAATCTCTACTTACAATGCATTAGTTTTCACAATTACATTTTTAAAATATCTGTAATATTAAGGAGCCCCTTAAGGAGTTAAACTAGTGGGGGAGTAGACTTTGAGATTCATAGAAAATATTTTGGTCAGAAAATATTTCATCAGCCCTCAAATTACACTTACCAAAGAAATAAGTCAAATTACTCATTTCTGGAAGATGCTAACTCCACTTATGTATAAATATGATAGTTGTATTTGAAATGGCAGGGAGAGACTATGTTTTACATAGATATCATGCTTTTAGTAGTAGTAATAGGTAGATACCATTTCAAATGATTTATTATGAACTGATGATTCCTTCTTTCCAAAACAAAGTACTACAAACAGATCAAGTGCTCATCTAGGAGGCAAGGGGAGGGCCTAAGATTTGATCCCAGTGTTGTATTCATTCAGAATCTGGGAGAACCACACATTCCTAGGTTCAACTTCTAGTTCAAACCTGTCATGCCAAATTGAATTATTGACATGTGTTAAAATTTTCTGTATTTGATATAAAAAATTTTTGTGTGGCAGTTACTATTAAGGAGTTTAATTATAAATTTCAAAACTAATATAAATAACCAAATTTTACCAAAGATTATTTTTAAAATTTTTGTCCAATATGAATTAGTAGACTTTCAGATACGCGGATGAAAAAGACTTAATTATAATATTTGAATTAGTTAATGATACTTAAAATGGCATTAAATATTAATTTGGAAATACTTCACTTAATATAAAGTCCATAAACTATTTTATTTAAACATCTTGCATAAATCTATGTCCTTAGTTTCCTCATCATAACTTTAATCATTTCTCCAATCATCTAACACAGTTATGAGAAAAATTATCTTTACTCCGATTGGTTTGAAATACAGTATATTTTGTATCTTTATGCAGTGAAGTTCCTAGAAATATTTTCCCAAGCTACAAGTAACTATAATTATTTGCCTGACATTGACAAGTATTTTTTAGCTGTTTATTTTAAACTTCGTAAAATAATTGTTCAATTTACTGCTAAAAATGTATTCTTCCAAAATTAAAAAAATTCAGAAAAAGTACAAGGAAAAATAAGAATCTTCAATACTTATACAAACCAGAATTTCTATAAGTGCATTTATTTTGAAACAGAGAGTGAGAGGTGCGTGGGCGGCTCAGTCAGTTAAGTGTCTGACTTCAGCTCAGGTCACGATCTCATGGTTGAGTTCAAGCCTCACTCTGGGCTTTGGACTGACAGCTTGGAGCCTGCTTCAGATTCTCTGTCTCCTTTTTTCTCTCTGCCTCTCCCATGCTCACACTTTCTGTCTCTCAAAAATAAATAAATAAACATTTTTTAAAAAGAGAATAAATTTCAGCATTCAAACATACTTTAGGAAATTTACATTAGAAAAAGAAACAGAGAAAGAGAGAGATGAGTGGTGGAGTGAGAGAGAAAGAGAAACCAGAATAATTAAAATTAAAGGCTGAAAAAATCAAATATTGACAAGGATGTGAAGTAAACATAATTCTCATACATTGATGGTGGGAGTGTAAAGTTGTACAATTGCTTTGTAAAAATGTCTGGCACTTTCTAATAAAATGAAACATATATCCAACTTATGTTCCTGTAATTTAACTCTACATGTTTACTCAGAGGAAACAAAAGCAGATGTCCAAAAAAGGACTTGTACTAGAATGTTATTAGCAGCATTAGTATAATGGCTAACAGAGCTAAAAGCTGGAAACAGCTCAGGTATGCAACCAGAATAAAATATATTTTAAAAAAAATCTCTGGTATATACATACAGTGGAATACTACTCAGCCATAAAAAATGAATGAACAATTGATTCACGTGACATGAATCTTAAAAATATTACGTTGATTGAAAGAAGGCTTTCATAAGAGAGTAGATATCATTTTATCTTGTTTTAGAGTTCTAAAAACTTCACACAAGGCAGATTTATACTGAAAGAAGAAGGAAGGAAGGAAGGAAGGAAGGAAAGAAAGAAAAACAAAAAAGAGCAGTTGTCTCTGGTGGGTGGGCCAGAGATTGGGAAGAATCATGTGAAGAACTTTCTGAGGGAATAATGAAGTTCTATATCTTGATAGAGGTTTGGATTAGAGTATTTGTCAAAACTCATCAAGTGATACACTTAAGGTTTATATATGCACACCATTATATATAAGTTTTACCTTAAAAGACTAAAGTACCAGAAAGAAATATTGAATTATAGGTAAATAGAATGGAATGTTATGGAGATATAGAGTGGTGAAAATCTGTAGGATCAAATGTACAATTACAAAATGATAAACATTTTTTTCTCTTTCTTTGTCCACTGTTCCAAACATATTAGATATATTAATGCTTTTTATCCTTTGGGCAACCCTATGAGTCAGGTACTAGGATTGCTCTAATATCACAACCGTAGAAACAAAAGTCACTGAGATATAAAACATCCAGCCCTAGCTCAGAGAACCAGTAGTGGTAGAGTCAGTATTTAAACACAACAATTAATATGGCAGCCCATGTAAGTGAGCATCAGCATCTTCTCCCTGCCCGCTGCCCTGCTCTATCTCTTTCTCTCAATATGCTTTATAGAACTATGGTTTCAGTTATGGTAAAGTAGGACTACATGTGTGATCTACACAGATACTGCATTTCATTTTAAGTAAAAAAGGCAAATTTCAAAGTAATATATGCTAGTTTAAAATGTTAACAAATAAAGCAATATATGTATACCTATAAGTACATATTTATGGTATAAACACTATATAACAAAAAAATCTATAAAGATTTGGTAGTGTACTAATACTATAATTGTTCACAAGAAAATGGAGAGTAATTTAAATAGAGTTCATCAAAGAGTACACTGTTAATTGTTGAGCAAAATAATAGTGCTTGATTAGGATTGCAACTATACCTGTCCCTAGATTTTCTACATATGGTTAATATTCTTAGATCTTAATAGTGGGTTGACTGGCTATTCCTTAAAATAAAGGGTGGCTTGTTAAAAAACAACCTTACTATCTAGAGTTCCAAAATTTAGAAACATAGCTTTTCCTGTTATCCAAATACACTAAACTTGTCACAAAGAGCAAGTATCACATATTGAGCATCAAATATTTGCCATGCCTATGCTATG